ACGTAGAGAAGAAAGAGCTGGCAGCTTCATGGTTCACACCTACATGGTTCAGGAATTCACGGAAAAAAACTTCATGAACGGATACACAAACAGGTGCTCTTCTTGTGAGAACGATTTAAACTTTTGCGATTCACAAGAAATCGTTTTTCATTGCGGAACCCTGAAAATTGTATAACGTTTCCTTATACACGAAAATTGTCGAGTGAAATTCGTGTTCCCTTCCTAAAAATCGTCCGTCGATCACACTCCCGTCCGAAACGGGGACCGCGTTGATATTTGACATCGTTATTGGATGGGTAATTGAATTTTGATAAGCTTTTACACTAATAGGTTTTTCCACTGCGTAATATTTTCGGACGTTGCCTATTAAAAGAGCAGACGACAGAATGAGAATTGTGGCAACTAGCTACTACATTGGTATACAGAAAGTTGTTAATGGAAAATTAGTTGCTCTGCAATATTCATAACGTTCATTTAAAAATTATGCACTATAAAATTAATTACTCGAAACGTTTGTTATTATTATATATAGATATATTGATAGTACATAAACGTTTGTTTATGTATTATCTATATTTTTATATATAGATAGTATATAAACGTTTGTTTGAATTGGCAGAAATAAAATAGGACAATTTAAATAAGTATTTTTTTGATTTTAATGATTCATATTAAAATTCACTTATTATCGGAAGTCCAGGAGGACTTTTATTATTTTGTTTTGTTAATATTAACCCATTTTTGTTATGTTAATATAACACCCTAGAAACACATGCCAGATAAACTGTACCATAATGTTTTTTTTTTTTTTAATATTGCGCTAAATTTCACGATGATTATTCTTCTGCTTTATAAAGGAACCAAGCGTCTATTTCTATATGTATATTTAATTTCGTATTACTCACGTAAAAAACTAAACCAACCATTCGAGTAAATAGGCGTTCAGCTAGATAATGTATCTCCCTCGACTATTTTTCGTACTACTTATTTTTAAATAAGGTATTTTATGTAAAGTGTTAGATGGGTTTCCTTTTGCATAAGTTTAATGGGTGCAATAGTAGACAAGCCATTTCGAGAAAATATTAACAAAGTCGACTTTGTAAAATCACGTAGGTGATATAAAAGTGAATTGATTCGACTGACACAATAAAGACAATCAGAGAGAAATATTTTGACTCTTACTAAGGAGACGCTTCAAAATCATTACAATGTTTTTTGACCACGTAATAGACTCATTTTTTTTTCTTTATTTCGCGCAAAACAAAAATCTAAAGGCTCCCTAAGGAAGTCAATTAAACGTCGTACGTTCACTACACAAAGGAGAGCGAATGAAAAAAGTCAAACATAACGACACCTCGAGAATTCTCCGCGGCCCGTAATCGTACCGCTGCGCAGACTTGAGAGAGTAGGCCGAGATTTGATGAGAATTAAAATTGAAATTCCGAGAAAGAAATGCTGAAATGAAATTTACTAAGATCCAAAGCAAGCACTAATTGAATTCGCGCACCAGGATTATCCAGATTTCTTTTCGTGTTCCCCAAGGCTCCGCAGATACACACCGACAAAATACTATTCGGCGAAAGAGCACCTCTTAGCCTCTAGGACACCGGAGATGGGACAAATTTCCGAGCCGGGGTTAGATCACTCCACTTAATTGTTTTTCAGACCCGAGCTGAATAAACTATCTTGAATTTACATCGGAGCCCCGTCGATAACAATGGTCGTTTGCGAAATGGAAATTCTCGAATTGCCTTAACCTAGATTGGTTGGGAAAAACAAGCCTTCAGTAGCAATTGAATCTAATAACGTTTATTATGATTTCTCAAGTGATTATCGCCACCCATTGGGGTCCCATGGACTCAGGACCCATCATAAATACCTGTTGGTGTGCTGTTGCCTAGCGAATCTTTAAAATGCTTGGTTCCTGTTTACTGAACGTACTTTACTTTACAATAGTCTTCTGTGATACTTTCTGGATGACTCAGTTTATTGCTCCAAAAGCAGAAGATGCCGTAAACGTGGCAATTAGTAAGTGAACTTATTTTCTGCTAAGATTTCTCATCACTACATAGTCTAAAACAAAATCATCAATCATTCAATCAATTGAAATTAATATAATGAAAGTTTATAATTCTCATAGAAATATTCTTAGCCATATCATGTGTTTGAGATTCACCTTTTCTATTGAATCGAAAATTTTAATTTAAATTTTAATTATTTTTATATAAGGTTTTCACACATATTTATTAGTTATTTTTATATAAAACTTCCACAAGTCATGTCAGAAATAAAAAAATTGCGGGGACATTTACGTAATCTATATTTTATTATTAAGTGAAGCAAAAACTTTGTTCCCCTTTTTATAAAAATTGCGCGGACGGAGAAGTGTGAAATTTCCTATACTTAAAGTTTATATAGAGAAGGAATGCAGGATACTAATATTTTTTATAAAATTATGCACAAAAAATACGTAAAATCAATAAAAAAAAAATATTTTTTAATTTATTGATTACACACACAATCCTTTACCTGTTCAGTCCTTTCAACGAAGTCTCCCCGTTGGAATTGGTTGGAAAGAGTTTAGCCGTCCCTCGAAATTTTACCATCCCATACGGTCAGCGGTGAGAGCGAAAGTATCCGAACTAAACCGAACTAAACGAACTCAGTTTTGAGCCCGTATTATGAACGCAGTTCAACCGAGCATAAAGCGCTGAACTCGGCTGGGCGAATGCACGGGGGTTTTAGCTGCAAGAGTTCTATCGCCGCTTAATTCGTTTAACAGTTGGTTATGATGTCATCGTACCTCACGGAATTTTCTCTCCTCCGACGAATAGCGGTGCCGTTTAATCCACAAATGAAGCTCCGCACTATGAAATAGAGCGATTTAAAAGGTTCTTAAAGTTGTGTTCATTGTACCATAACTTTTTTTGTGGCGGGCTATTCTATATGTCGAAATCAACACAAAACAATTGTCAAATACATAGGCCAAATTAAAATAATCTTCGTTTATATAATGCATTTCAATATCACCGTGTAATAAAACCTCTTGTACAACAACACAATATAATCCAGGCTTGTCGTTGTTATTCTCCAATTTGTTCTTATTCTATTTAACTAAATTAATTTTGTAAAACATAATTAATTAACAATATTAGATGTTTACTGTTCTATAATGTCTATCTTTGTTATTATGGAGAAAGAACAAACAGGAATGGATTGTTTCAGAAGAAAATCACTGACTTCTGCTTTGTGGATACGAGGAAAAAGAGAGATATTTGAGATTAAAAGAGGGTCTCTCTATCCCATGAGAACACAGCGGTAGACATTTATCTGTATATATACTTGTACGAGATTTACATATAAGTTCATATGTTTTAAACTCTTGTTGTGTATGGGAGTAGTGAAAGTGTATTTCTACGTTATCTGTCCCACACTTGTGGGGCGTAGCTACAGATAACGTAGAAATACACAACAACTATTTAACAAGGTTCCAGTGTTGCAATGTTAGGCGCTCTAACCCTTACGCTATCAAAAGCAGTGACCGATAAATTGTCTTTAATAAGCCCAACGTCCGCTACGAGAGCCGATAATACAGTTCATGAATTACAAATGGCGCCCACCGTCCAGTACAATGGAATTATGTCCATCGATGATACCTTGGATATGATACGATAACTCATGCGCGTAATTATTATGGCTTATTAATAATTTACGATCAATACGTTATTTATACACACATGTATAACGTCAGTGTGTTTAATGAGAGCCATGATATGTCAGTGTGCCGGCGCTCGCCTAATTCAATGCACTCGAGCAACCGGAGTTCGATCCCCGGTGCCGGCAATAAAAACAAAATATTCCGAAGGTATGTCCGCCAATCCGTAGTGGACTATGCCCCGATATCCTCTGTACAGAGGAGCCAGCAGTGGGGCATGTACAGGCTGTTACTTTACTTTTCATGTTTAACAAACATTCCTTTAACCCACTGGGGTAAGCATATATTACTCTATATTTTAAAACCACGGTCTTTTCACACGGCTTGTTGTTTCAAATGATAAATATATATATATTCGAATAGATTCTAAAATGATCAATCGCAACAAATTTGTTTCTAGAAACATGTATACGATAAACGTATGTATGTTTAATTTGTTTATTCGGAAATTAACTTTCAACTCAATGTATTTTCTATAAATTGAAATTGGCTTTGTCAGTTACAGAGTCAAAGCTATATATATATATATATATATATATATATATATATATATATATATTGTGTTAACTCGCGTCATCGCCACAGAACGTTTTCTATGAGCTATTTTAAAAAAAGTAGTACGCAAAAACATATTTGTAGTTATGGATATGATGTAAATACTGTCATTTTCGTTCGTAGTGCCTATAAGATAATTATGTACAATTAAATATTATACTATTTTAATTTCGATATTGTTTTATGTTTTCACTTCTGCAGTGCCCATGAAACTACCTATTTTTTTTTTATATTAAATGGCGGTACGATACAGAGTAAACTATTTAAAAAAATAGCCAACCAACTTCAGAACAACAATTCGATATCAAGATAAATAAAAATGAAGAAAAAACACACTCAGAAAAGACTGCCTTCTTGATTCACATTTTGCGACATTTCAAGTATTACATTTGATCTTACATCTACATCTCTGTTACCGCATAAATAATATTAGTTCACTGTACATGGGTATTATATAATTCTCATAAGCCCCACGTTTTAAATAACTCGATCTAACTCTTTCGGAAAATTTGATGACGTTATAATGTAAAAAAACGTATAAATATGACCAACATTTTACAATTCTATAATTCACCAAGCTATTAACCGTATCTATTTAACGTGTTAACTTAACGTTATGATAATTAGAGCCATGTACAGCTATGTAAATGTCAGTCCGTAATTGTACTTAGTAGGTCGCAGAAGTCAACGGATTAACAAAGTGATACAACTATTGAGAGTTATGGGGTTAAGTTGCGTAACCTTCTTCAACGCAGTTCCCGGAGTCACTTAAAGATAACTCGGCCCTTTAATGGGCAATCTAGACCGCTTAAGGGAATCGTTCGACCTTCTCTCAGAAGGCAGTAGCATTGCCGTTATTATACTAAAAGAACGGCTACTAGAATTATATAATAGAAAACTTACTGCGATAGTGTAGCGTTAGTTCAAAGACATATAGGCTGTCCTAAAAGTCAACGTCATGCCGGAATTAGATAATAAGTAACAGACATAATATTAAACATAAAAAAGTCAATAAAAAAGTCAAAATTTGTAGCAACCGCAACTAAAAACCGTCACAAGGAGTAGATTTTATTGATTTATTTATAAACGCCTGTCGTTTTTAAAATTCATAGGAAATGATTTTCTTTTATATTTTTCTGTTAACTATTATGATTTTACTTATCACCCAATTGCAGCTTAACGTTAAATTCTGAGACATCTTGTATGTACGCATATGTCTTGAGGTCTTTACCTATATGTATAGAATAACCCCGGCTACTTCCGTCTACTAGAATTATATAAAGAAGAAACGAATTTATTGCAGGTTCTAGGAGCCACCATCCTAGCAGGTGACTTTAACAGCAAGCACATCCGATGGAACTCGACACGTACCAACAGTCGAGGCACCGCACTCGACTCGCTTTCCGACAGGCTCGACTTTGAAGTCGTAGCCCCCGTCGAACAAACGCACTTTCCATACATAAAAGGACACATCGGATGTCCTTGATCAAAAACGTCAGTCTCTCCATTCGCGATCCGGTAGTGATACATGAGCTTCACTCTGATCACCGACCAGTTCTCCTTCGGGTAGGGCCCTCAGCAACAGCCGCTCCCCAAACCAAAACAGTCATTAGTTGGCATAAAGTAAAAACCAAATTTAACGAGCCCAATCCTGCGCTATTAGAGTCAATCCCCGACCAACAAATAAGACACAGAGACCGCAATTCGGGCCCTCACGAGCCACGTCAACACCGTCGTCGAGCAATGCTCGAGTCAGGTCCCAGCGATGAACGACCATCGCTGGGCCCTGCCAGACGATGTGCGCGATTTACTGAGATGCAAGAATCCGCCACGTACCTGGCAGGTTCTCCCCAATTAATGATAGAAGCGTTGCTGGAGTTTCTTCCGCCACTTGTTCTCCCAGCGCCAATGCTTTACGAAGTGGTAGTAACGATAGTTCTAGAAATTCCCCCAGCCAGATAACAGCTACATAAAGACGCATGCGCGTGCGTCTATTTGATTAAAGATATTTTGAATTTGATATTTGTCAAAATCAAATTCAAAATATCTAAAATATCTAAAAATATATAAAATATTGTATAAATTACTGAAATTAATTCCGACTCGGTACATATTTTGTGTGCATAAAGAATAAATAAATAAATAAGTGTTACACTTCTGCGTTTCGTGTGGTGAGTGAGGTAGCCCGGGTTCACTTTATTTAAAGGTGGCAGCGCATTTGCAACCCTACGGGTGTTGGAAATGTCCATGGGCGACAATTATTACTTAACATCAGGTGAACCGCCAGCTCGTTTGCCACTTTTTCACATAAAAAAAATATTCCGTCAGATCTTTGCAACACTGACTGAATTCGCAGCTTTCTGGATCGAGTTCGCTCACGCACCCTCGCTTCAAACGCGAGATTGGGCCCAATAATCTCACCGGCGCCCCTCCAGTCTCCGCCCGATCTGTCGATACTCCGCGACTTAAATCCGCTAATGACCCGAGGGGCGGCAAAAAGGGCGCGCTGGGCACCCCCACGCCCTCCGCCCGGTTGCAATTATTCCGGCGGTCGACGCCACTCCAAGCTTTTTCGTGGCCGGTGAAAGCATAATGACCGTACATTTCTTACGGTGAGCGGTCGCTCAACGACTTTCTGACGCGGCGCCAACAAAGCGATAACGGCACCGCCTCTGCAAATGAACGTGGAACGTGGAACACTTTGTGCGGATCAGTTTGCGGTAATGGCGCTCGAATGAAAGGTAGAACCTACAATAGATCACGACATATAAAGGCATCGGCAGATACTTAGATAGATAGGAAATAGGTACTACATACCGAATGGACAAGGCAAAAATGGCTGGTACGTTTACATTGGGACCAAAGTTTTATAAGGGCTTGTTACCATCATCATTATCATTTAAGCCTGTTTAAGTCCACTCCGGAATAATGAACAATGACTTTCCCAATAGACGGTCACAAAGCATGATCATTAGCCACCTGCGCCCATCTCTCTCCCTCACATTTGCACAGTTCCTCACTCCGTACATCAAGATAAATAAGATTAGGTAGTTGTAGTTCATGAACCTTTTAGACGTTTGAAGATCGGAGACAGAACATGACAATACCAATTGTTACCAATATTGCACGTAAATTGGAACTTTTAATGTATTCTTCCAAATTGTTCAAACGATCCAGTCGATAGAAATACACCCCAAAAATAAGAATAATAAGAGTTTAGGATAATAATTATGAATTGAACCTAGTCACTAAACGAAAAAGCTTGTCAAAATATTTACTACTTCCACTAAATTTATCATGGCATAAATGTGCGTAATGTCAATATTGCCATACTTACTAGAGCATAGAAAAAACTGCATGACAGTGTTATGTGACAGTGATATTAATATACATCACGAAATACATGCACCAAATGTTTACATAAACACTCAAACAATCTCAAAATTTTGACAATTTAAACTGAATTGATAAAATATAAATGGCATAAACAGTTCTGCCACACGACCAGGTCGAAAAGCCTTGTCAGCCTTGACACAAGTCACTCCTCCGTTAATGACGCCAATATTATTTCCTCCCACCGAACGAGCCACTTTCAACGGTCGACGCCTCGAGCAGAAACACATTCATTTGCGGCCTGTCAAAAATATCGCACAGAAACAATGCCTCCCGTTACATTGCGTCGCTCCTTAGCGCCATTGTTGGGGTAAAATAAATTCTGAAGGAACGTTGTGCGGTTGAATGACGTGGCGCGATCCGTCACGAAATCTCTCGTCACGTCCGCCTTTGCTGAGGGAGCGCCGAGTAAGCTCCCGGCGCCGAGGAATGGGGTAGCAAATAATCTAACCGTCGACGTTTTGTCAGAAGTCTTTTTAAAAGATAATGTGGCCTGATCCAGTAGTTCGCCTTTTCTTTTCTTTATGAAGAAAAGGGACGAATCAGCATGAGGCTCATCTGATGGTAAGATCATCCGGCCGTGGACATCTGCAACACCAGAGGACTTACAAATGCGTTGCTTTCCTTTGCCGGCCTTTCAGGAAAGGGTATGCTCATTTCTTGATGGTTCCCCCTAACGGTTCCAAAAAACCCACCAGAGTGGTTATGCAGGTAGGAAATGCCTTGAAAATCGCGCTGTTGTGGTACGCTTGACATCGAGGTGGTTTGGATGAAATTTTTGGTTTTGGCGCGATATCCGCTGGTGAAATTCAGCCTATTGATGATAAATAAAAAGTACCTACGCTGTACACATATATACTTCCGTGAAATGGATGGTTCTCAAATAAGTATGATATTAATCTGTGTAATGGCTGGTTCACATTACAAGACCATCACTTCTGCTCTATTCGGTCGTAGTTGGATGAAACGATTGGGGTTTGCTGCCACGACCTAGTTTATTATAACTGTGATACTGCACAACTCGTTATTTTCGCAAGTTGCTATTATGATTCACATTTATTACTGTTAATTATTCATTCATGATTCATTCAGATACATATTTATTACTGTTAATTATTCATTCATGATTCATTCAGATACATATTTATTACTGTTAATTATTCATAAATACTATAATTGACGGGACTGGACAGGACCCAACTGTATCACACGGACACGATTACAAATGCGCATTTCTACCACACATTACCACCTTAACATTTACATTTTTTTAAATTTTTTTTGTAAACATTGCTCTTACTTTAAGATAACATTGTCCTGCGTTGTAAGGGCGGTTTACAAACATAAATTTCACGTGGACAAACACCTAGATGCGAAACAACTATGTGTGGATCATACAAATAGTTGTCCCATGTGGGAATCGAACCCACGACCGCCGAAGCCAATATCTTGGCAACTGCGCCACGGAGGCATATATAGCTAATAATGAGAGTGATAAATAACTAAATAGCGGATGGGACAGACGTTGTCCTGTACACACGTCTTGAATTCGAAAATTTCAAACTTTTTCGAATAACTTTGTGTATCTAAACCATTCTCAAATCCATCTGAACACACACAAAAAATCTCATTAAAATCGGTCCAGCCGTTTAGGAGGAGTTCAGTGACAAACACCCGTACAGAAGAATCATATATATAAAGATATACTAAGCTTCATTACAAATTTAATTCAATTAAGTCTATTGTTGAGAAAATTTTTTATTAAATTTTTTTGGAAAAAGATACAAAATTACGAAAAAAATTCCTTTAAAGTGGTCTGCGACTGACTTTGTACCCGCGTTCAAATTACACCCACTTAACTGTCAAGGAAAGAATTCCGGTCATTTGATGGAGGAAAAAATTGACATTAAGCTATTGCTCCCAATGACGCTACTTAATGACTATAGAATAGTGAGTTGTGTCTGTCGTAATGCCTTCTAAATTAAGAAAAAATTCTATTTAAAATAAGAGCATGTATGTGGCAAGGAAGTTTTACTTCGCCGCTGAGCACGAGAAAAATCAGCGCTTAAAATTAACAATTTCATTGGTGCCGGCACCGGGGATTGAACTCAGGTTGCTCGAGTATATTGAATTAAAGGCGAGCGCCCGGATGCTGAGCTATCACGGCTCTTTTAGGGTTGCGTACCCAAAAGGGAGGACGGGGCCCTATTACTAAACTCCGCTGTCTGTCTGTCCGTTCGTCTATCACCAGGCTATATATCATGAACCGTGGTATTTAGACAGTTGGAATTTCCACAGATGATGTATTTCTGTTGCCGCTATAACAACGAATACTAAAAAACGGAATAAAAATTATTTAAGAAGGGAGCCGCCCCATACAAGAGACATGATCTTTCGCCGTTTTCATAGACCACGGAACCCTTCGTGTGCGAGTCCAATTCGCTCTCGGCCGGTTGTTTTTTTTTTTTAATTTTCAACGTGTAGCGGTCTGAAACCGTCGGCGTTTATATCGCCCGTGTGTATATAAAATCCAATTACACGTGTGCCTTTGATGGACGACCAGCCCACTGCACTGTTTTAAAGTGCACGTACCGCCATCCGGATGATGAATGACCGTGTATCATTTTACCGGTGTAATTTTGCACCGGTGATAATTTGATGGAGCGCTAAATTGAATTACCGATTGGTGTTTATTCCGTTCGCCAATAAATAAGGCACGCGCGAATCGATTTCGAGGCGGTTTCCTTTATAATTTATCATAAACGCTATTTTTACGGTGGTAGGGTCACGCAGCAGCCTCGGCTGTCACGAATGGGCAGGCTCGTCTGGGTAAGTACCACGACCTCACAGAAGACCGGCGTCAAGTGGAAGTATAATACTTTCGCGTTTCGTCTGGTGAGTGAGGTAGCCGGAGCCCAATTTTTGTCAACGCACCTGCAACCCTCGGAGCAGTTCACTTAACATCAGATGAACCGCCGGCTCGCTTGGCAACTTTTCACATAAAAGAAATATTTAACGAAAATGAAAATTATTGTCAACTACCTGTTGATACTCACGTAGTATAGAATAAGACTATTATACCTGTATGTTATATTGTACCCTGATATTTTTGAAAAAGAGCAACTGTTGAGTTTCTTGCCGGTCTCTTCTCAACAGAAACCGCTTTCCGAACCGGTGGTACCTTACGAACCTATATACATAATCTTTGATGAAAAATTTGACGATTCATAAGAGCGCGCAAGCGTCTATTTGAATAAATATAATTTTGATTTTGATTTTGATTTTGATTTTGATTTTGATTTTGATTTTGATTTTGACCGATGAACGCCACGCTCTTGACACTTGGTGACACTTAAGCGGTGGCAAACTAACACATTTTTTTTATGTGCCCCTTAAGGTAAGGGATCGATGGTGAAAACGGTCATAAGGCTTACATAGAAGTTTTCTCGAGAACTAAAAGAAAAGACTTGAACAAATATAAATAAAGGTAATAGATGAGGCTAGATCATGTATCCCTATTACTTGTACAAATAGTATTTATGAGGGGCTATATAAAATAACCTTGTAGATAAATATCGTAAAGAAAATAATACATTATGAATAATGTAAAGGATTCAGTTTGTTTGTCCGATAGCTTTAATATACTCCAATACAATGTAATACAGACCGGACAGTCTTTTACTGTTAACTTAGCAATTTGGAAGTCAAATACATTTTTTTTATGTGAAAAGTTGTCAAACGAGGTTCACCTGATGTTAAGTGAATACCGCCGCCCATAGAAATCTGCTACACCCGAGGGTTGCAGATGCATTGACAACCATTGAAATTTTTTTAAACATAAAAGGTGAAACAATGTACAATAAATCATTTTCATTTTCAAGCACCGTAATTGATCGATTTGTCTTTAGCTAAAAGCGGTGTCTTAATTAAAAACCATTACTTTAATATGTAAGTAAACAATCGAATGCTGCGTGACTAAATTCATAAATACTCACTACATACATTTGTACTTTATGCGGTGATTTCAAATGAAATGTATATATTGTCCGCTCTAGGTAAACAAATAGCCCAAGCGAATTGAACGTTTCCATTCCCCATTCGTTCCGTACGATGCAAGATAAATCGTCTGTATTAGATGGAAGCCTCTATATTTCTGGCTGCCAGTGGTTCGCCAATAAATTCGAAATCAATCTCCATCCACCGCGCGTGCC